GGTTACAAGTAGTCCTCCACTTATAACCAGTCATGTGGTGACCATGTGAAGTTACGGCCGCTCAGGGCAGGGGAGGGCGGGGGGGGGCTTACCTGAAGTGGAAGGTCCCTTCTCTCTGGCCGAAGCCGCTGCCGGGCACCACGCAGATGCCCGTCTCCTCCAGCAGCCGGAGGCAGAAGAACATGTCGGGCGCCTGGCCCAGGGCCTGCAGGAGGCGGGGGGGGGGAGAGGGGGGTCAGCCTGGCTTTGCTCTCAGCCCCATTGCTTCTCCGGTCTCTTTTGACGGCCCAAGCATTGGAAGGGGGGGGGGGAAAGGGGACCCGGGGGGCTCGTGGGGGAGACCCAAAGCCTCCGCAGGGGAGTCAAAAGGCTGCTTAAGGCAACCTGAGTCTGCCTCATTTGCATACTTTCCCCCCATCACCTGGCTCCGCATTTGACCCTCCCGCCTCGGAAGGAGGGAAGGCTGAGCCAGTCAGGATCGAACTGCTGACAGTGGGCAGCCAGGCTGCAATGCTGCTCTCTAAGCACTGGGCCCCCAAGTCAAGAGGGTGGGAAAGCCCCACAGCCTTGAAGGCCCCTCCCCTTCTACCACTCAGGCAGCAGCCATCTTGACTTTTCTGACCTTCCCCTGGTCGGCCCTTCTCCCCCTTCCTTCTTCCCCGGAGGAGAAGATGGGCCCCGCCTGTCCTCCCCTCCCTCCCGCCTTCCCTCCCTCCCTCATTCTTCTGGGTCTTTCCCCATCCGTGCAAGGGAGCCCCTCCTCGCTGGGGGCCCCTCACAACCTCCCCCCCCCGGCTCCTGCAGGCTGCCCCCCCCCTCTGCGAAGGCCAGAGCCACAGGTGTCCACCTTACCTGAGCCTCCTGCACGGCCCGGACGGGCAGCTCGATCCGGGGAAAGGCGTACATGGCCCCCTGCACCGGGTTGCAATGGATCCCGGGCGCCCGGTTGAAGATCTCCTCGGTCAGCCGGGCCTTCCTGGCCAGAGCGCCCAGCACATCGGACTTTTCCTGGACAGGTGAGGGCGCAGAATCGCTCTTAGCTCAACCGCCAGGCGGGTCTTTAATGCCCACAGCCGTGTCCCCCCCCCCACACACACACAGATGGGATTCAGAGGCTGAGAAGCCCCCGCTTAGCTTCGCATGTTGTGGGACCCCCACTACGGGAAGCCTAATAGCAGTAGACTTATATACCGCTTCATAGGGCTTTCAGCCCTCTCTAAGCGGTTTACAG